CCCTGGGATTAGAGGCGTGTGCCACTACACCCAGATCTAGCCAGCTCAGCCCGCCCTGGGGGCAGGGCTGGCAGGGCATGTGGTGCCAGGGATTGAGCGGCAGTCCCTGAGCTTGCCTAAGCAGGCGCTTTAGTCCACTGAGCTTTCTCACTGACCCAGTTTTACCATTTTAAAAAACATTACTGTTGGTGAGACAGGGCCAGAGTGACCTGTGCCTGGCTGCACACACTGTTTTCCAGAGCGATGCAACATCCACGGAGAGCGAAAGCGAAGACAACTTCCTCACGCTGCCCCCCAGGGACCACCTGGGCCTCACCCTCTTCTCCATGCTCTGCTGCTTCTGGCCACTGGGCATTGCGGCCTTCTACTTCTCCCAGGGGGTAAGCAAGCGTTGGCTCCCCGGCTACAGGTGGGGCCAGGCCGGGGGCTGGGCTGCCTTGACTGGTGCAGAGCCCTCTCGGTAACCGCACAACTCTCTCCCTAGACCAGCAAGGCCATCTCCAAAGGGGACTTCCGACTGGCCAGCGCCACCTCCCGCAGGGCCCTCTTCCTGGCCACACTCTCCATCGCCGTGGGGGCCGGTCTCTATGTGGCCGTAGTAGTGGCTCTAGCAGCTTACATGTCCCAGAATGGCCACAGCTAGCAGCCACCAGTAGGGCCAGCATCTCAATTCCCCTGGCCCACTTGAGGAAGCGGTGGGGCTCGGGGCTGCAGGGCTCAGAGAAGCCCTTGGCAGTGGCGTGTTGGGGCGGGGACTCCCAGCCTGCAGCCTGCAGGGCTCAACCTTCCCTTCAACCAAAGCAGGTGGGGGCACCACCCTCCAGCCCAGGCTATAGAAGTGAAGCAGGAGAGATGGGCTTCCCACGAGGCCACCGTACTGGGCCTGGCCTGCTCTGCCTACTCCTTGCAGGGTCTCCTGCCCACCCGTTGGCAGCTCACTACCTACTTCCTCCCCTGAGAAAGAGCAGAGGTCCCAGGGAAGAAGAGGAGTGCCAGGGACAGGGGAATTGCCCCAGGGGAAGCCTGAATGCTCAGTTCTGCTCTGGTGCCCAAATTGAGCCAATCAGGAAGGCAATACGTGGAGACAGCCCTTCTCCTCACCTGTGGGCAGGTGAGATGCCACAGAGCCTGGACAGAAAAGAGGAGTCTCAGAGTGCAAACTGCACAGGGGAGGACAGGCTCCTAGGGCTCCCCGAGTAGGAATAAAGGGCAGAGGTGAGGCCAGAGGCCCTGAAACACCACTAGACTGTGTGGGCCGCCCACCCCACAGCCTTGTCCTTTCTGAGAGCCCTACACTGGTGCCTGTACCAAAAGACTGAGGCTGCCAGCAGCCCCCCAGCCACTGAACAGGGGCAGGCTCTGGGTCCAGGCCAGTGGGAAAGCAGTGGAGTGTGAGGGGGGACCCGGGGGAGGCCTCCTAGCGGTGTCCCTGATCGGAGCCTGGAACATGAGAGGCGTGCACAGGGGCTTTGTTTCCACACGGCTGGGTACTGGGGGGTACACTGGCGCGCAGGGCCCTCTGAGGGACTGCAGGCTGCTTGCATTCTGCCAGGGGCACCCAGCATGCAGCAAAACTGCGGCCGTTTCTGAGGGCTCCACTGACCCGAGGAGGAAGGTCGGGCCTGTGCCTCAGACCACCCGCTGGCCCGGAGCCCCTCCACACAGATCTGCTGACTCCAGGGCCTCAAGCAACCTCCAGAACTTAAGGGCCGTCAGGCAGGCAGCACTCGGGATGCCTGGGGCCCAGCTGTGGCTCCCACTGTGCATGACCGGGGCCTGGTCATCCACATCCCCGCAGACAGTACTCTGGCTCCTCCGCCCCGTGCCCTGTCCACGGCCTCCCAGCTCCAGTATCACCCCGCCCCCTGCTCCCTGACTCACTGGCACTTTTAATGCTCCCTTGTATTTATTTATCCCGGTAATAAACTTTTCTGTAACACCTGGTGACCTCTGCGTCTCGCGGTTCTCACCTGCACCCCCTGGCCTGGCTCCCTTCCTGTTCCCCAGCACTGAGTTTTACTACTGAGAGGACAGGCTGGCTACAGGCCTCAGCAGGAGGACTGACGGCGCTCACACTGCCTGGAGGTACCTACGCAGGACACAGCAGGACTGGAGCCTGGAGCAACAACCCCCTCCTAGGCCAAGAGCCTTGGGGTTAGGGAGGCCCGGCCATGAGCCCGGTGGCTGAGGCCCAGTACCCTTGGCCCAGAGAGGGGCTACCTGGCCTCCAATCATTGCACGTGGGAGGCCCTGGGAAGGCGGGTTGGGCATACCCCACACTCTACAAGGCACCCATCTGCAAGACACAGCTCTTCAGGTCCACGTGCATTAACTCTCTCTCTCTCTCTCTCTCTCTCTCTCTCTCTCTCTCTCTCTCTCTCCATGGGGTCTCAGGACAGAAATGAGCACACAGGACACAAGGAAAGGCAGGTCCAGGCAGAGGGGTCAAGCTGTGATGCAGTCTTTTTTTCTTTTCTTTTTGTCTTTTTAAGGCAGGGTCTCACTATGTAGTTCAGGCTGGTCTCACACTTGCAATGATCCGTCCTCCTGCATCAGCCACCCAAGTGCTGGGATAACAGGCATGCCACCATGCCCGGCCTTGTGATACAGGCTTAATTGGCCATTTGGGCCAACCAGGATGCCCTTCAAGGTTGACCCGAGGTGGGGTGAAAGATCCATCATTGGATGTGAGCTATGCAAAAACGGGGTGTGACCATGGGCCACACAGCCTGATGGACCCTACCTGAGGGCCACTGCAGGACGTGGAGGGCTGTCCACGCTTCCTGAAGGGCCACGGGCGCCACCTCAGCACACTGAGCACATGTGCCACACAGGAGCACGGGTACACCATCCTGGGTCACCATTGAGGTCTTGGGGGGCTGGTCTCCCATCTGGAAGCTGGGGGAGGGGGTGCTGAGGGAAGGGTGTAGCCCACTGCCAAAGTGTCAAGCCCTAGGCTACCCGACCCAGCCTGCCCATCCTGTCCAGGCACAGGCATTGGCCTGGCCTCCAGGGCCCCTGGTGCAGGTCCTACTTGGGGAGCAGGTTCCCCCCAGGCCAAGTGGTTCCCGCCTCCTTCCTCCAGCATGTTGCTCCAGGAAGACAACAGAAGGCAAACCGTTTTTTGTTTGTTTGTTTGAGATGGACTCTCACTAGGCTGCCCAAGCTGGTCTGTTCTTGGTCTTAGGTAGCCCTCCTGTCTCAGCCTCCTGAGGGGCTAAGCGCATAGGTGTGCGGCCCCCCACACACACACCAGCTTGATTTACTGTTTTCAGCCCTAGTCTTGTCTAGCCCCTTTCACCCCCATACCTCCCCTCAGATGCAAATTCGAGCTTCACAGGAAAAAGTAGAATCCCCAAACAGCCTGGGGGCTCCCGCCTCTCTCCCATCCCCTCCCAGGCAGGGGCTGATACTTCCTCTGCCAGAGGAAGCCTGCCACTGGCATGCCCTGGGCGCTTTAGGCCTCCTGCTTCCCAGCTCTGCTGCTGTATCTCCAGCCCCGGCTCCTGGGAGGCTGGTTCTGAGGCTGGCAGAGGGAGGCTGGGGGCAGGGAGGTCCCCTGAGTAAAGGTGCCAGTGACGAGCTGCAGTACCAGCACATCTGTGCAGATATTACCAATTATTTTCCTCACTCTAAACACCCAGCAGGAAGGCAGGCAACCAACCCAAACTTTAAAATAGAAACCAAAATTGCCGCACAGGGAAGTCAGGGCAGCCAGCAGAGCAAGGGCTCTGCACAACAATCCAGGGTCGCCCTCCCCGCTGCCCTTCAAGCTGGTTGCTCCAGCCACAACCCCAACCTCACCTCAACCCCCCCACGCCCCAAGGAGGAAACGTGGGAAGCTTGTCAATGGGAGGGAGGCCTTGGTCAGGGAGGGGGCCCAGTTGGAGAGGGGCGGTGCTGGGGAGGGCAAAGGCTGCCAATGGTGGTGGTCACGGAAGAGCCAGTGCTAAGGACCCTGGCCTGCACCAGTTCCTGCCTGGGTGGGCCAGGCCTGGGGTACCCTGTGGAGTAGCATGGGGGAAGGATGCCCCTTGGTTGTGCCCCAGCCCCAGAGATGAAAAAGAGACAACCCAGGGCCAGGATGGGGGGTGAGACCCTGGTCTGCCCCCACTCTGACAGGACGGGGACCTGCGCCTGCACCCCAGCAGCCTGCTCTCCACCTCCTCCCTCCCTCCCTCTGCACAAACAGGCTGATGGACAGCAAGTCACAGCAGAGCCACACAGGTTGTCACAATGGTGACAAATACTTCCATGCCAATTATTCAACAGGCCCTGTTCGGCCCCAAGCCCTCCAAAAATGTCCCTTTCTGCTTCCCTAACCCTTCTCCGGGACCCCAGAGCCCCCATCCCAGGGTGAAAGGGTTAATCGCTGGCAAAGCAACCCCTCCACAATGCAGCAGCCCATGCTGGGGCAGCCCTGATGTCACACACCTCCAGGGCCACCCTGCCCCTGCACTCACAGACACGCTGTCCTTGTGCCCACAGACTCTGCGCCCCCCAGCCCCCTGGGAGGGTGCTCGGACAAATGCACTGCCTGTGTGCCCCGTACCGAGCGGTACCCCAGCGTGAGTCCTGGGCACAGCCAGCCCCAAGCCCCTCTGGGGCGGGGGTGAGGACATGGCAATGGCCCTGGAATGCTGCACCAGGAGGGCACCCAGAGCTCCTGAGCTCATCTTCCATTAGGAAAGAGGCCCCTGTGGCCAGGGGAGGGGAGCCGCTCAGCTCACACCGCAGGCTCTGAGCCCAGCCTAGGTTGCTGCTTTCTGCCTGTCTGCACGGTGTGCCTGCTGCAGAGACACAGAAAAGCCAGCCACAACTGCTGTCGCCACCGCCCTGCGCATATTAACAGCCCCGCTTCCCAGCCTTCCCTGCCGGCTGCGTCCTGCTTCAAAGGCGTCCTGCCTGCCCGCCCGCACCTCCCTGGGGTTGACACCATGGCCCTTCTATTTTGGTGGCATGGCTGGGGTGGGGCAGGTGGCTGGCAGCCTTGCTCAATCTGCCCTGATCCCCCCGGGGGCTCTCCCATCCTCTGTGTGGCAGAGGAGGCTCAGCCCTGTGCAGAGTGAGCCTCTGTGGGAAGACTCAGATGCGCAGTGTAAAAATAAAAGGTGCCCGCGCCACCTCCTGCCCTCCAGGACCAGCATCCTGGCTGCTTCACCATTCTTCCTCTGGAGAGCCCGGCAGGCCTCAAAGCCCGTCCCAGCTCCAGGAGGATGAGGCAGAAATGCCTCAAGGCCAGGGTGTTCCCCTCGACCCTTCCACCACCCACCCCAACCCACCCCTCCCCACTCCACCCCTGCCCCAGCCAGACACTGCCAGGAGGACAAAGGGAGCAGCCGCCCGCCCCACCCACACCAACGGGCAGGGCCCACGTGAGACAGGAGCACGAGGACCCCCCACAGCTTCAGCCACAAAGGCAGGTGTTCCTGGCCCCGGTGGAGACTGACACGGGCACTGGCCCTCAGCTTGGTACACCCTAGCAAGGCCCTCAAGCCTCAGCCCTGCCTTCATCTCTCTGCCTCGTGTCCCCCTCCAGCCCTGCCCGTATCTGCTTAGAGCTGGCAAGCACAATGGCTAGCAGGCACCTGTGAATATTACATAAATCAAGGCTGACATGCCCCAGTAACTCACTGAGCACTG